CCTGCTTAGACTCTCAGTCAGTCGTCCTTTTTCCACTGACAGTGAAGGACCTCTTTCAGCTCTCTGTCTTCAGACATTTGTGGTTATTGATCTTAACCTAATTGGTGAGTTCTTTTCTTTCTTTTCTGTTTCTTTCTTAAAAAAATTGCTTCAGTATTCAAAGTGGTGATTGAGCTTCTTTTCATTTTACTGGACTTTTGATTGTGTGATGCCAGGTCAGAATTGGCGGGAAACCAGACAGACATTTTCTCTCAGCCTCTTATATTTAGTTGTTTTCATTTTTCTTTCTTTGAATTTGAATTTTACTTTTGAAGTTTGACTTCTAGTTAACATTGTAAAATGGTTTATTTTAAGTCAAACAATTATCAATTTGGCAGCCAGGTGCCCAAACCAAACTAAAAAGTGAAAGGACAGGTCTAATACATCCACCACCATCACCTTCTTAGTAGCTTACCCGAGTTAGGGTTAAAGTCAGGGCTGAAGCCTTTCACAGGTCGCTCTGGGCAAGTGTGAGCTTAGACACAAAGCACTGTGTCCAAGTATGGTCAGCATTCTCATTGATGTTAAAACCTCTGAAATTATGTAAATGCTGTGATATTCTCAAAAGTTTGGTTTTACAGTCAGAATGAAGATCGCAGCCTTCAATGTCAAGAATCTTGGAGTGAGAAAACTCAACAAAGATATTGTACGAAATAATCTAATCAAGGTAAGTCATGAGACATTTACAACTTAATTTGATTAAATTATGATGCTGTTTTATTGTTGAAGTGTGTTTGTGTCATCAACATATTCAAACATTTAATTATAGAACGTATTGCCACAATAAGAGTTGCTGACGTTTAAGTGTCTGACGTCAGGCCATTTATACAGAGTTATTTAAGTTTGTTCACACTGGCTTGTAAAAGTTGATGTGTTGGATTCCCAGTGGTTGCTGAACTGTTGCACGTGTTCAGAGAGCCCTTTATTGTGCTGTTTCGCCGCCGTTCAGCCAGACGTATGTATGAGTGTGAGCTTTTGTCCTCTACATTCACAGGGACTCAGTTTGAAACTGGTGACGCTGCTCCTTCTTCCAGGATACAGGATAAATTGTCCATGAATGTCCATACACGTATACAAATAAACAAGTACTACTGTGCATGTTCACCTGTAACTAACTGGTTATGTTTGTGCTTCCAGTTGTGAAGAAGCTTGTTCTGATTTCCGTCCACACCAAACCAAAGGATGCTGAACATGAGCTGCGTGCTCTTCATAATGTGGTCCAAGATGCAAGAAGGAGATGGGGCACTAATGTAGGCTGGAAATGAAAGAGTGACGAATTTACAGAATGGATTTGTTTAT